TTATGACTAAGAAAAGATGTAAAATGACAATTTGTAATTAAATTTAAATCGAAATAGAAATTTTCAAAAAAAAAAAAAATTGTATAAAATCCGAAAAGAAAAATAAAATTCTGGAATTTTAGTGGTTTTACAATTGAATTTGGTGCAGCTGTAACTTCACTAACGGCCAGTAAACTTGGCCTACCAATTAGTACGACGCATTCATTGGTTTGTTTTACAATAATTATTTGCAATATTTTAATATTTTTAAAAGATTTCTAAGAGCAGAAATCTTAAAATAAGAATCGATCAATGCTTTTTTTTTACTTCATTAAAGCATTTTTAGGTGGGGAGTGTAGTATTTGTGGGAATGGTCCGTGCCAAGAAAGGTGTTCAGTGGTCAATATTCCGAAATATTGCCTTGTCATGGATTTTAACATTACCCATTTCAGGTTAATTTTAATTTTTCAGAAATATTCCCTCTTTTTTTTTTATAAGAAAAATTAGAAGATATTTACTTTCACGGAAATTTTTTCGAGTAATTCTTTTAACAGATAAATTAGGAATTGAGGTCAAACAATCACATAATAGATCTTACATAGTTTTTTTTTTCTTTACAATTAAATCTTACACATGTGTTTTTCCTCTCAAAATGTGGAAAATTGATTGGAAATTCATTTTCCGCATCATACATTATCCGACAGTTACTAATAATTTTTGATTTTAAATTATTTCAGGCCTTATGGCAATGGGTTTGATGTTAATCCTGAAATTTTCACTCTGAGAGTGTCGATAAATTATTTTTACTTGTATATTTCTTATTTTATTGTGTATTTTAAAAGTTCATTCATTCCCATCTTTGTTTATTTTAATTTTATTTGACTAATGAAAAGAACTCCAAGTTTGACACAATTTAGCTAATATTTAACAACATTTGCTGCTTTTAAAAATCCACTTATTCCCATTTTAGTATTTATAAAATACATTGAGTTGAATGATAGAGTAGTGAACGAAAATTTTGTTAGAAAAATTTCACAACATATACATTTTTATTTCAATTAACTTCATTTTGATTTCAATTACTCATCAATTATTTACCTGTAATCATTTGAAAATCATGTTTGATGAAGAAATTATCATTTAAAATTAATCAACATTTGAAAAAGAAGCTTAGTTAAATTTTTATTGATAGTCTAACTCAATATAGCAGTATTAAAACCCGAACAATTTTGTTGATTCAACTATTGCACAATGCAGAAATCATAAAATGAATATTAATAGCCATTTTTAAATTAAGCACATACGGAAAATATATTAATATGAAATTTTAAATTTATAGCAATGTTTCACTGAAAATTTCACTGAAAAATTTTCACTGAAAATTAAGCAGTTATTCATTATATGGAATAATATTAACAGTATCATCAATATTATCAGTCACAACTCTCTATGACATTATCAGTCACAACTCTCTATGACATTTAAATGAAATTTAAAACAAAAAAACCTTCTAATTTATAAAAGAAACAATTAATATAGAGGTATTGCTGTATGGGTATTCCTATCTTTTGTTGGTAATTATTTCTTCCAAGGATAGTTTGTTTGCTTTTTTATCAAACATTACCTCATCTTTTTACTTTTATCATCAATCATTTTCTATCTAAACTTGAAACTATTTTAATTTCGTACTGGAAATAATAAAATAAAGTAGTTCAATCCATACTAAAAATAATTCTTGGCTAGAAATGTTCCAGTCTATGCGATCAAAACTACAAAAAAGTTAGACTAAATTTTCCCTCCTAATACATTACTTTTTTTGATTAGACAAGACACATACGGAAAATATATTAATATGAAATTTTAAATTTATAGCAATGNTTCACTGAAAATTAGGGTTGAACAGCAGAGTATTACTAAAATAAGGCTACAAAAATAGAACTGAAAAAAAAAAACCAATTGAGTTAATCAGACTTTAATTATCTGATTTTTTTTCCTTTTTTGGTTTCGACAATAAAAAGCAAAAATTTTAATCCACAAAACAAAAAGAAGAACAGTTCTTTTTTTTTTTCAGTTTGTTTCGTTAAAAGTTTTTAACTTCATATTCTGTATGTTAAAGTCTACTTATTTCATTTATTTCAAACAAATGACAAAATTTCATAAAAATTCAAGTTGTAAAATTCACAATTTAAAGATTGATAAAATCTGTTGCTATCAAATTCTTGCAATCTTTATTTTCACACATTTTTCCAGTAGAGGTAATAATCTTTTCGGAAGTACCCCGAAATCTTATCCACTATCTGAGATGGCAAAATATTATTAATTATTAATTAATGTCCCGAGTACGAACAAAGTAATGAGTGAATGATGATGAAACATCAGTATGAATGGTATTTTTCTTTATTCTGAATTGAAATCGAAAAAAGTTTATAAAGCAACATTATTAAATCCGATCAAAAACCTCATTAATAGCATTAATGCAGCTGCTATTATACCTGAAATACTTTTTCATAGTAAACTTTTATTTATTATCAGCATTTATTTCTTTTTAAGCATTCATAAAACAATCAAGAAAAAATGTGCACAAGAAATTTAAGCTGAGGAGAAGTTTAATGCAAATTTTGGCTTCAACATTTATTTCTATCTTAATTCATTTAAAATTTAGTTACAAAAATTTTTAAGTTATCTTTGAAAAAAAAATTAGCTACAGAGTCTTGCATCCTGTTCAAATGTAGTGAGTATTTATTTATAAGAAGATTAGCCGAATAATCCGCTAGACTTTAAAAGTCTCATATGTCTGCAATAACTTCAAAAATCAAAATCCAATTTTCCATTTTTGTTTTTAAATTAAGTCATGATCAGAAGATATGAAAATTTTCATCTATTTACCTGAGGCAGGTAAAGTGATAATCCATGAAAGAATGATATTTCGAAAAATACTCCATCGAACACCACCAATATGAGATTTAAGAACACCAACCATCACTACGCTGCCAACCTCAAATTTAATTTCTTAATAACTGATAAATGATTACATATTTCAGATTTACAAAAATTATTTTATCTCAGTGATACTAAATTAAGCTCATTTTATGAATGCTTTTTATAAGATAATATCAAGAGATATCATCTGATTATCGGAAAGTATCGCCTAAAATAAAGCTAACAATAATAACTCGAATTCTTTGATTATCTTCTGATAACTGTTTGTTTGTCATCAATCCAATCAATATCTTCGTTTTATAAAATTTCGAAAAACATCTCACTTATTGCTATTACGATGAGATAAAATAACTGAGACTTTGCTTACAACGGAGCAATTTGAAGTGAATTATTGATTTCTCCCACTTTTAATAATTGCATTTGTAAAATTTTCAAAAATTTTTCATATCATACCAAGCAATGTGTTGTACTAATCGGTAAGCCAGCTTTGCTTGCTAACAGTGCCGTTACTGCAGCACCAAATTCAATCGTAAAGCCACTATAATTGT